AAAAAGCCAGGGGACCAAGAAGGCTTGGGGCATGCTGAGCCAGTGACCCAGCATGACTGAAGTCCAAAGGCTATGGACGACTTGAAAAGAAAATGTCAGTTTGGGTTAAACTGAGAAGAGCTGAGAAGCCTGGATTTCACTGAAGAAGCAATGCGGACCCAGTCCCACTTTCTGAGCAAGAAGTGACAGGAGCAAAGTCCCATCTGAGGAATGTTTCCTGATGGTGATATCCAAGAGGATCTGGGGGGGGGGGGGCAAAAGGGGAGATGGGTGATCTGCCCACCTATGTCCCCAGATCCACACATGCTGGGCTACTGCTGCTGACCAGAGGGAGCCCTCATCTCCCTACTCACCCAGCTCTTGGGCTATGTCATTTCTAGCAACAGTAACTCCAGCACCACAGGCTTAGGATCTTAGGGACTCCTCCTCTAAATCCATTCCCTGTGTTCCACTTTATATAGCAAGTTTCTGTCCTGAGTCCTTTGGTAAGTTTCTGTCCTAGTTATCAGCTCTATTTCCTTGTTCTTTAAAAAAGGATAGGGCCGTAGGCTGAGCGCGGTGGCTCACGCCTGTACTCTCAGCACTTTGGGAAGCTGAGGTGGGCAGATTGCTTGAGCCCAGGAGTTTGAGACCAGCCCGGGCAACATGGCAAACACCCATCTCTATTAAAAGTACAGTACAAAAGTACAAAAATTAGCTGGGCATCGTGGCGTGTGCCTGTGGTCCCAGCTGCTTGGGAGGCTGAGGCGAGAGAATTGCTTGAAGCCGGGAGATTGAGGCTGCAGTGGGCTGTGATAGCACTACTGCATGCCAGCCTGGGTGACTAGGGCCCTGTTCAAGTCTTTCTGATTCCCACACCAGACACCATCTGCCCCACCTAAATACTCCTACCTGAGAAAAGAACACCCTGGTTACTGAGGCCTGCCTGAATCTTCTAATATCACTCACCTGGATGCTCTGAGATTTACCCTACCTGTTGGAACCTGTGCCACTTGTGGTGAAATACTCATCACTCTATTTGCCTGGCTTGATACTTATAAGGTTATTATCTTGATCACTTGGGTTCCTGACAGCCTGTGACATTTCAAACCTCCTCTGTCAGCCTCACCAGCTAGGTCAGGTTCCCCTCATAGGTAGGCTTGCTGCCAGAACCCTGCCTCTCCCTGTCTTCTCTAGTGGCCTACAGATTTCTATAGCTAGCTGCAAATAAGCATAGCAAAAAAGCTATGTTGCACTAATTGAGACATTAGGTGACAGGACTAGACAACAGGAATTGACAGGATAGGCTGATGTTAAAGACTTTGCATGAGGTGAAAATAAATCAAACGTTTTAGGAACTGATAGAATGTAGAAGATGGTGAGAGCAGGAAGAGTCAAAGAACTCCATGGTTCAAAGTCTGGATGCCAAAGGAAGCCATGTCTACAGTAATAAGGATTGCTGGGGTTGGCAGGGAATCTGTTTTGGTTGGAATGCATTTATACATAGTACTTTTCCACTCCCTCTTCCTTCACTCCCTGTGTCCATCATAGCATTTATTAGTACCTCACCTGTCTAGAATGAAAGCTCCATGAGGGCAGGAACCTCACTTGCTTATTGGCTGCAGAATACCAGGCTTCCAGAACAGTGCCTGGCAGCTAGCATGTTTTCCATGGAAATACATATAGACTGTATGAATGGATTTTGAGTTAACATGTTGTTCTCAGGTAGTGCTACCCATCAGATGCTTGGGTAGATGTGCATGGGCATTGGCTGGAGGCTGGGCCAGTTTGAGGGATGTGGGTATGGGAAAGAAAGGCACATTCAAAGCAACAGAAGGGCTAAGGCACATAGCAACCTTCCCTCAGAGGGTTAGGGGAGATGAGAAGATGAAGAGAAAAGGCAAAAGAGAGAAAGAGAAGTGAAAGACAAACAAGATAATGGTAGCTTTTGTAAGTTAAGGAAGAGGTATTTTGGAAATTAAGGCAGGACTGATTATTCAGTGACAGCAAATGTTGTAGAGGTTGAAATGAATGAAAATAAGAGAATGACACTAAATTTAATGGTTAGGAGACTTGGAGTAACCTCGGTGAATACAGAACACAGAGACAGATTGCAGTGGGAAAAGGAATGAGAACGTGGGAAGAAAGTAGAGGCAGTAGAAATAGGTTAGATTTTCAGTAAGTTTGGTCTTGATGGTAATACACTATGAGAAGTTAGAGGAACAACTGTGTTTATTTAGACAGGGCGTTTGTCCTCTTACCTTTGGGGAGATATAAGCATATATAAAAATCCAAAGGAAGGATGTTTATATCCTCACCTCCCACCAAATCAAATCAAATCAAATCAAATCAAAATGGGAAAAAATGATTATGTAGGGGAAAAAAAAGGTGTAAGTGCCATTTTGAGTTCTAAATATAGGGAAGGGATAGAAGAACCTAGAGCTTAGCTGGGACCTCTCATGCAGGAGAAGAAAAGCAATGAAGAGGGGTATCTGGGGGAAGTGGATGGAAAAGAGGCCTGTTCTCCTGTCCTAGAATCTAAGAGCCAGACACTGAACAGCCTAAATCAGAGTCGAAGATATTGGAAACTTTCTGCTTTAAAACAAGGCTAAAGAACTGGAAGCTGGGGCATAAGCCCAGCCTGCCTTATAGGGCATGATGTCCTTTGGACATAGAATGAACATTCCAAAATACAACTGACTCAAGGACCACCAAGACAGGCTACGAATGGGACACTCCTTACCTCCAGTTACAACAGTAAACATGTTATTACAATGCATTAATAAATTAGTGTTCCATCCTGTCTACTACCAATTAAGAACTCCTATAACAGAAACCCATTCTAGGAAAAGTGGTATTTATCACTGTGCGGCAGAACACAATAAGGTTCATATCCATGTGAATACCAACCCAGGAGTTTAAGAGAAGGACAAACATAGAAGACTCACTTTTCTTGGAAGAAATGAACTTTCTTTTTTATCTCAAGATATGGTAGGTCTTGCCTAAGGTGTACTTCATTGATTATCAGACAGCCAACAGCCCTGATCATATCCAAACAGCTCGATTCCACTGCTTGAGATAATTTTTTAAAGAAGAAAATAACTTTCTCTTGGTTATATCCAAATACTAGTTTTGTGCAAAAGTAATTGCAGTTTTTTGCCACTAAAAGTAATGGCAAAAATCACAATTACTTTTGTACCAACTGAATATATCTGTTTTCCTCTAGATATGACATCTTTCTCCAATGTGAAAAAAAAACTAACATACGATACACCGTTTTGTAACTTATGTTCGTTTTCGTACCTTACATCTGGAGCCCTGCTCCCATCTTGGGTAGTCTTGGTAACGTGAAGAGCCGGATTCTCCCAATGCTTAAGCACATGTGAGAGGGAGGCACTTGAAGAAGGCCAGTGAGGTTTCTTCCATGACCAAAAAACAGGAGAACAAGATGCCCAGCCAGGGACTGGAAGGAGTCAAAGGTGTAAGGGTGTCTCTGGGGCCAATAACAGAATCTAGAACTGAAGCACCTCCGGGTTCAGCACATTCAACTCCCTGATTGTGCAGGTGAGAAAACTGAGGCTGATCGCCCCTGTTCAAAGTCGCCCAGCCAGGTGTCCTCACACAGCACAGCACCCTGTCCCTCACCTCTCACCACCTCCTAACCCAGAAAGCCACTTAGGTACTGAAGAGCACCCAATAACCAAACCAGCATTATTTTCCCCTAAGCCAAGTTTCTCTTCTTTCTCTATCTTCTTATTACAGAAATTTTCCAATATTTATAAGCAGAGAAATGAGAATAATAACCACCATGGACCCACTGCCCAGCTTAAACAACCCATTGCCAGTCTTCCTTTATCTTAAGCTTACCTACCTCACCCTCCTCCAGGATTATTTTGAAGCAAATTCCAGGTAGCTTATCATTATTTCTTGTTAAATATAAAATGCTCAAACAAACTATATAGCTGCAAATGCATCCGAAACAATTTTCTTTGGGGAGCTTTGATGCTCCTATTCCATATCCTTGCATTGCGTGTGGTATTTTTAATTTCATTTCACAGCTCTAGAACAAAACCCTAGCTCTTATCTTAGTACAGACCAATAAGATACGCTCTGTGTCCCTGTACATCCACTAACAATATTAGACTGTGTACAACGAGGAATTCTGATGAAGGCATTGCCTTGGACAGTAAGCATGGGGAATGTTGAACTTACTAAACACTTTTCTATAATAGACACAGTACACTCACACTGGCACTTGTTTAAATTGGGCTGAATTCTGGCCTGAGATTTAAAGCCAACTTCGTCCATGAGTCGATATGAAAGGCACTAAGCAACATAACTCCTTAAGGTTTAACAAATCTACAAACTAAATTAACAACCAAACATTTTCACACCAATAGGGTTATGTCTCTACTCTCTTAAGACAGAGACCATTTATTTGTCCTAAGGATATGATAGAAATCTAAAATCAAATATAACAAAATTTTTCTTTCATATAGCCACTTAATCTTTCCTAAAGAATAAATATATCAAAAAAGACATTTTTAAAAAAAGTTTTAATTAATGAACAAGACTGTACTACTAGTTAAATAATGTTACATGTATAGTAGTATAGTCTACTAGTTAAATATGTATATATTAATATAAATAGTACAGTCTAACTAGTTAAATATATATGTAACATCATGTGTATATAAAAATGGATACCTGCCATCATAATGTTGATGAATAGCATTTCCACTTATCATTTTCTACTATTTCACTCCTTTGCCTCATCCATCCATTTTTTATATAAATTTACAAATATATATTTTTAAATGAGAATATATTAGAAAGTTAAGGTCAGTACAAAAAGAAGGCAAATCAGAACTCTTAAGTTGTTTCATCCATAAAATAAAAAAATTCATTTCAAATATGGATTAAATTTTTTCTGGGAAAAAACACACTGTAATACATAATTTTCTACCTTTTAAACCATTTTACGATTTATCCCATCTTCTAACAAGTTATGATACTCATACCTGCTGAGGTTTCTCTAAATTTGTCGCTGGTCTTCTTTTTCCTCCATTTCCAAGGCTTAAAGATTTTACCAATGGTGGATAGTTTCCCCTTTCTCTTGAAGGGAGGTGTTTGGGAACCTGCTGTGGGGCCATCTGAGTTTGCTATAGAAGCTTTGTCCAGTCCATCAACTGTATAAAGAAAGATATAGACAGAGAAAGGTTGTAAAAAAGGTTTTAATAAAACAACATCATCGATTGGTTCCTGGGCTGTTAACGGTAAGCACATCCACTCTAATTGGAATCTCACATAAAGTTTACTTGTCCCATTTCACAGCTGGTAGGACTTCCCTCATATCAATCAGTAAACCAGTCAATCAGAAATTACAGCCAACTTAGAAAATCATTCTGGGGAAACAGACTAGAAACAAGAGACTTACATTATAGATGGGGCCAAATGAGTGTCTGCAACACAGCTAAATCCATCTGCAACAACCCTATCAATATTTTGTACAGGAATAGAGTATTCTAAGTATTTCTGAAATAGGATGTTCCTCCAGAGACTAGTTTGACATTCTCAGTAATGAATATTACAGTTATGGTGTAGTTAAAATCATGGTTTCTCTTTCACAAAATAAAATTTGGTGCCAGGAAGCTAAATTCTATTTTTACAATGCTAAAACTATCTTTTGCTTTTATTACAAAAAAGGTTTTGAGCTTCAAAGAAACTGATAACTACACTAACCACAAGAAATATGTGGAAAATTTGGGTACTGTGTGTGATAAAAACATGCTTTTGTATATCTTCACTATTTTATTTATCAGAAGAAATGCACAAAATCTTAAGTTGCCTTGCTTGCACTGTGTTCTAGGCTGATGGAAGATAGCAATGACTTACGTTACACCAACTATCAAATTTTAATGGCAAAGAACTGGAAGCAGGCCAGAATGGATGAACTATAATATTATTCCATCAATAAAATAGCACTTGAAATTATGGCAAAAAAAAAAAAGGAAAAATCAAAACAGTAGTTTCTTCTTGGAGGCAGAAATTACCTGAGAAGAAACTTGAAGGAACATATAGGGGTGATGGAAATTATCTCAGCAATGGTTGGATGACCCAAAACTCATTAAATGGAATTTACAATTTCTTGCATTTCACTTTATGTAAAATTTACCTTTAAAAAAGCATAAATAGACAGTGAAGTATAATTAATGACATGTATGCTGAAGTGTTTAGAGGTGAAGTGTACTGATGTCCATCAAAAATAATAAATGGATAGATAGATGGAATAGGCAGATGGATAAAAGCACAATAAAGTAAAATAGAGCAAAATGTTAAGTGTTGAATCCAGCTGGTAGATATGTATATGGGGCATGATACCAATTCTTTTATCTTCTCTGTATTTTTAAAACTTTCTTAATATAATATTGGTAATAGTAAAACAAATAAAAACAAAAATTGAACAGCAAGGACTTCTGCTTCCAAGAAGATAAAACAGACTTACTTTTTCTTTTTGAGACAGAGTCTTGCTCTGTCGCCCAAGCTGGAGTGCAGTGGCGTGATCTCAGTTCACTGCAACCACCGCCTCCCGGGTTCAAGCAATTCTCCTGCCTCAGCCTCCCGAGCAGCTGGGACTGACTACAGGTGCATGCCACCACGCCCAGCTAATTTTTGAATTTTTAGTAGAAACGGTGTTTCACCATATTGGTCAGGCTGGTCTCGAACTCCTGACCTCAAATGATCCACCCATCTCAGTCTCCCAAAGTGCTGGGATTATAGGCCTGAGCCACCACACCCAGCCCAAACTTACTTTTTCTTATTCCTCTGGCTAAATAAAACTTAAAACACACACACACACACACACACACACACACGGATGTTACATATAAATGTAAGAAAATTCTGTAAGGCCAAGAGAAGGTAGACAAGCCTGGGACCTCAGAACCCAAGAAGCAACAAGGTGGTGAGATTCCTGGGTTTTCTTTTTGCCTCAAATATCCCAGACTCATAGCTGAAGAAGTCGGAAACCTCTAAAGGCCAACAAGCATGGAAGCCAGCAACCCAGAAACACCAATGGGCACAGACCACAAGCATCTTCACTCTCTAGCCACATAACCAGGAAAGGGGCAGAGTAGCAAAATAAGAAACTTTTAGACAATAACTGCTCTACTACAGCCAAGCACCATGGAAGAACCTGTGACCATGCATGCTAGCAAAGGCTGAATGGAGTTACTAGATTTCCACCCTCATGCGGCTCTGAAAAAGAGCCCTAATATCCCCACTAGTGTGGTGTCAGAGAAGACCAAGCAGGAAACTAGCACCTTTATGCCTAGCGGCTGATAATGAAGCATCTTCCACAGTGTCAGTGGAGACCATGTAGGAAGCCCTGACATCCATCCCTTCCCAGCAATAACTGGGTATCTCTCCCCTCCCCCCAAAACAGAGGTGGTCAAATCATTGCACACTAGGAACAAGGCCACTCCAACTGTGATATCAAGGGAGATCACATGGGGATCCGGAAGTTCTACCTGTGCCCAACACTAACAAGGACACCCCACACACATACATAGTGTGTCAACAGAGGACAAGTGGAGAACTGGGATTTTTTACCTCCAGTAGGGGTGACAAGGTGGCACCCACTGCTTCCTCTGCTATAGAGGTGTCAGACAATGCCAATTAAAACAGAAGGTTTCAAACAAGATCTACAGTCACATAACATAATACAAAAATGTCCAAGTTTCCATCAAAAATCACTTGACACACTAAGAACCAGGAAAACCTCAAACTGAATGAAAAAAGACAATCAACAGACATCAATTCCTAAATCCTTATGAGTTCTCCTTCCAAACAAATAGGAATAACTCCTGTTCCTCCCACTAGTGAAGTCTACTGTAATTTCAGGTACTATCTGGGCAGAGATGGGCAGACACTGCGCATTGCTAGGGAAAATTGGAGATTCAAGTCCTGCGCTGACTGGTTCTTCTGAAAGTGGTTCCTAACCCTACTTTCAGCCATAGCACAACAGATAGAGATACAGGAGACAGACTGATTTTGAAGCTAATTCAGAGTAAAGGAGCAAAATATTTATTACTTCAATTCTACTCCTGTCCAACTTCCCTCCTTGAACCAGAGTGCAAACCCAGAGGGGAACTGAGAGTATGGTTTTACTTCTTCATGAAGACTTTCCGCTGAACTCTCATGTAAGGGCTTAACTTTGAACAACTTAAACGTTGTAAAATATAAAAGGGCTGATTATTATGAACATAGAAAATGAAAGTTTCCATCTCAAATTCATCTCTGTGGTTACATGTCTAGTTTTCATTTTCTTACAATATAGTGGGATCTTTCTCTCCCAACCCACATATCCAGTTCCCTGATGCTCCATAAAAATTCTACTTTTTCTCTGAAGCAATTAAGAACAGCCTATTTTTCCCCTATCATAAACCACACTTGCAATTAGAAACCATATGTTGGCACAGTTGGCCAATGTGCCATTGTACTTCTCTTAAATCATGAATGTGAGGACCACTGTCACCCGCTTTTGAGTAGCATGGGAAGAATATTAACTCTCTTCTTTAGATACACAGGACACTGGCATTGCTATGATATTTCTGTAATTTTGCTTGTGGATCAGTTTTCCATTAAAATCCATTTGAAACTTTCCATAAATTATTTCACAGTAAGTCTGGTGAATTTTGCATTTATATGCAGATAAAAACAAATTGCCAGGTAAATCCCAGATGAAAGGTAAAATTTCCTGATTGCTTTCAATGTTAATTTTGGTCCACTTTTATGTTACTAAGAGTAACTTGTCATTCATCAGAACTTACGTTTTCACACTTGAGTTCTACACTTTAAAACACAGCATATTTTGAAATACAGTCATTAGCTAATCAAATGTAGACACTTTAAATGACACAGCTCAGTCTATCTTCCCACTGAAACGAGCCCACACCTAACAGAATTTCCCTGCACCACCAATTGCTAAGAAATCAGAAAATACATACAGGTTTTATTTTTTATTTAAACAGAAATGTATCAATTAGGCAGTCCCAGCACAAATGTGACCATGTAAGCCAAAAATAAACGAGGCTAGATAATTATCATATTGATAGGGTTTAGATATGAATCCCCACCCAAATCTCATGTCAAATTGTAATCCTCAGTGTTGGAGGTGGAGCCTGGTGGGAGGTATGGATCATGGCGGCTGAGTTCTCACGAATTGTTTAGCACCGTCCCCTCTTGATACTGTATAGTGGGTGAGATCACATGAATTCCAGTTGTTTAAAAGTGTGTAGCACCTCTCTCTCTCTCTTCCTCCTGCTCCAGCCATATAAGACATGCCTGCTTCCCCTTCACTCGGTGCCATGATTGTAAGTTTCCTGAGACTTTTCCAGAAGCTAAGCAGAAGCTAGCCTGCAGAACTATGAGCCAATTAAACCTCTTTTCTACATAAATTACCCAGTCTCTGGTATTTCTTTACAGCAGTGCGAGAACAGACTAATATACATATGAAATAAATTGTAGGTTTGAATAGTCTTCCCTTTGAGATTTGATAAATAAATGATAGGGATTCTTAGAAAAATTGAATCTACTTAATAGAGTTCATTGTATGTTTATACTATTTAATGGTTATGAAATTTTTGATATCAATTTTTCCCCACACATAATTATTTCAGGCACTGAGAAACTGAGACAGATGTGGCATAGTATTACGACTCACAAATGTTGTAGCTGAAAGACCACTTAGAAAAGAATCTCCGTAAAAGAACTCCTGGTACTAATTTCGTACAAACTGACAGCCGCCCTGCAGAAAACAAGTAGGTGGTAAAAAACATGGTCTCAACTTTTCTCCAAATACCCTTAAATATCTGAAGGTCGATGAGAATGCATTTTTGAAGCCCAATTGTAGCAAAAATAACTAGGAGAAATCGTGTGTGGTAAATAATGCTTTGATAACACTCTGCTGTGTATGCTTTAAGAAAGTTAAAAAAAAAAAACAAGCATATCAAACTTTATTTACTTAAAATATAGTTTCCAGGCTTTGTTATTTTTTGTGCTTTGTTATGTTTTTACAATATTAAGATTATCTGTGTATATTTTTATTTCTATTACTGTTTTCATATTTCTATTATAATTCTGTCACTTTCCCCTTTAAAACCCACAGAACATATGGCAAAGAAAAATC